TTTTATGGTACGTTGTGGACTGCTTGACTGGTATATAAACAAAGTATGTTTGAAATATAATGATTCATAAATCCGAGGCTGAAACTTGTGTTCTGAACTCGACTGGCTGGGCTAGACTGGGAAGCGAGGCCAATCAGAACCCTAGGTCGTTCTACGTGTTTGTGCGTCTCTGGTCCGATCAATAATTCGCTACCCCTTAATCAGCAGCATTATTTTTCACGTTATAACAAGCCTGACGTTGTGTGGATATGTGGTCTATACAACCACGTCCAGGTCAAAAATCAGACTGATTTTCTCTAGTCTGATCTTCACGAGCTTTAGTTAGGCGTCGAAGTATTATTGAAGCTAATATTTTAGACACTATATAAGCCAAACTGATTCCCCTGTGATTGTCACAAGAGGACTTTTGTCCTTTCTTATAGACTGGCACAATCAGTGATTGAGACCAGTCAGATGGGATTAGGTCCAGTTCCCAAATTCTACCTAAGACCTCAGTTAATCTCACTGCTAATACTGAACCACCATCCTTAAAAATCTCAGGAGTGAACCTGTCAGGGCCTGCTGCTCTCCATCGCTTCAGATTTCCTATGGCTTTTTCAACTTCGTAAAGAGACAGAGGACCTAAATTAACTTGCTATTCAGGTTGACTGGAGATCGTGGGAAATCGAAGTGTGGCTGAAGGCCAGTTGAATTGATCCCTAAAGTGTTCTGCCCATCGATCCAATCTCCTGAATTGAGAATGTATAATATGTCCATCTTTCTCTGAAATTGTTTTGCTAACAGTTGGATTCCTAATATCGATTTCATTAACAAGTCTGAACAATTGTCTGCTATTACCTATTGCCTTTTTCATCTCTCTTGCTTTCGCCACCCACCACTGTTCACGATGATTGCGTAAACTTCTTATCAGCTTGCGCTTAAGCTGACTCCGCTCTTCATTATGTCCAGAGCCAGATGGAATGAGTTCCCGAGCATCTATCAGTGCGATAGGTGCTGCTGAGATCCAGTGTTTCTCCCTAACCTTCTGGTTTACCTTACTAGCAGATATCACTGCTGTTTCCACAGCTTTTTGGATATCATTCCATGCTGCATCGGGGTGGGCATCACATACATGGCTGCCCAACTGTTTTCCTAGTTGTTCCTGAAACATACTCTTAGCTTGACTCTCAGTAAGTAGAGCCCTAAGAGGTTTACTTGCAGCGTCTTTCCTACGTCCAGTAGTCAGTCAGCTACAACGTAGGACCAGGCACATATGTGTATCGGTCCAGGTTGCCATACCGCATCAGCACAACGAGATGAACACCGGATTCATAGCAGTGGTTAGGTCAAAGGTGGTAATATATAAGAGAAAGATTGCATATAGAGATATAGTACAAGAAGAAAGAATTGGTTGGTAGAAAGAAAGATATGAAGCGATCTTAATCTCTTAGTTTAAGGGAAGACAGAGAGTGTATACACCGACGCCATTGTGATCGACTCTGAGCCATGTCACCAAGAGTCTCCAACCATTGGTTACCAAAGTCACGCGGACCCCAACCAAGCAGTCTGCATCTACCAACATGGCTAAGACTAGAAGTTCGTGAAATCAAGCACTGATGCCACGCTTTGGTTTGGTCGCCCCTAACTTTCTTCCAACCATTCCGAACACTGGTTAGCATTGCGCGTCTTGGTAATCGGTGTTCAGGCATACGTAACACGTGGTTCAACCATCTCAGTCGATGAAGATTCATAACCTCATCAACTGATTTACCATCATTCCCTAATACCCTGCGTCTAACCTTACTATTACTTACCCGGTGATCCCAGCAGATGTGGGCAATATTTCTAAGGCATCTGTGCTCAAATACTCGTAGCTTACGAGTATCTTCAACTCTTAGTGGCCATGTTTCGCTGCCGTAAAGTAAAACAGAACGAAATACCGCGCAGTATACTCGTCCTTTTATTGATAGACGGATATCTCGCCTTCGCCACAGGTGACGTAAGTTGGCAAAAGCCAAACGAGCTTTTCGAATCCGTGCTGAGATTTCGTCAGACATCAACCCATTAGGGCTGATCAGACTTCCAAGATAAGTGAAGTTGTCGACGTGTTCGACTACTTCACTCCCTATTCTTAGTTCAGGTGTTGACGCAGACCAGTCCTGAAGCAACAACTTGCATTTAGAGGGAGAGAAGCGCATCCCAAACATTCTGGCATTGTTGCTTAGTGCTACCAGAAGACTCTGCATTTTATCAGCGTCTTCACCAAACAGGACTATATCATCTGCGTATTCTAAGTCGATAAGTGGACCTCCTGGTAGGAGATCAATACCCGAGAATTCAGTCGACGAGAATGTTATTACTATCAATAGGTCTATGATGAAGTTAAACAGAAATGGAGAAAGTGGACAGCCTTGACGGACACCACTTGATGTTGCAAAAGTAGATGACAGTTCGCCATAAGCCCTGACTCGACTAGTAGTGTTCGAGTAAAGAGCCTTTATAAGGTTTATGTACTTCTGTGGTACGCCTTTCAATGACAGACACTGCCACAGAATCTCGCGGTCTACAGAGTCAAATGCTGCTTTTAAGTTAAGAAAGACCACCATTGTCGGACGCCGATAAGTATGCCTATGTTCTAGAACCTGACGAATGGTGAATATGTGGTCGATGCAGCCACGACCAGGTCTGAAGCCAGCTTGGTTCTCTCGTGTTTGCAGTTCACGAGTCTTAGGCGTCTGATAATTATCGAGGCTAGTATTTTAGATACTATATTAGTTAAACTAATCCCTCTGTGGTTGTCACAGGATGATTTTGACCCTTTCTTATATATTGGGACGATAAGTGATTGTGACCAGTCAGATGGGATAACGTCTGACTCCCAGATCTTAGCTAAAATATTAGTCAACCTAATCGCTAAAATTGGACCACCATCCTTAAAGACTTCTGGAGCCAATCCATCTGGACCAGCTGCCCTTCCTCGTTTCAGATTAACTATAGCCTTTTGAACTTCTGCTAGAGTTGGGGGACCTACTTCAATGTTCCATTCACATTGTCTGGGAATGGAGGGTAGTTGTAGAGTAGCTGAAGGCCAGTTTAACTGTTCCCTAAAGTGTTCCGCCCATCGTTCTAAACGTCTGGACTGGGAGTAGATAAGAGTATCGTCTACTGGGATCTAGTCTAAGAGAGCTAGTTCTGCCCTAGGACTCAATGCTATGCCTACGCCGGCGAGTCCGCGAGAAGCAGCATCTGGGCTTCCAGATACACGAAGTGTGAATCGAGTTGGTTTTTTGTTTTAACATGGTGATGTCAAATGAATGACGCTACTCGGATCCTGCATGCGCGTTTCGGAGACGCAGCACACACTGCTGTCACACCCCTCTACAGTCAGCAGTACGACTTCGCCCTCAGACCTTGAGTTGCTGCTTTTAGCCTTACCGTTCTCCAATCGACCTGCCTGGTATTGTAGAACCTACAGGAACATATGTTCCAGCCAATATAGCTCGGTTGGGTCATCACGATAGACAAACCCGACCACCGCGTCAAGGTAGCAGCTTCGGTCGGGGAAAGACCTTATTTGTAGATGTAACCTAACTTCACTCTTACAGTGATTATCTCTAGATATTCTTTATCTTAGTTGCTAATCCAAATTCCTTAACTAGCAAGTTCATTCAGTCAGGCAGCTACAACGTAAGACCAGGCACATATATGCATCGGTCCAAGTTGTGGATCCAACTGCATATGACAGTCTAATAGAGTCACTGTTTCACGTAGAGAATGATCGCGAGGCGGGATCGTGGATGCGCACTGCTGAGGAGCTCCACAGTAGGACGAAACGGCTGTCTAGTGCTTCCAAGTTTTCCATGGTGGTCTAGCTTCAGTTGACTGATGATCTCAACAACTTAGGCGGCCTGCTTGAGCATCTGGGCTACCTGTTCCTGCCATCTAGATATTTCAACAAGTTATCTATTTTTGTTTGTTTTAATATATCATTGTGTCTATTAATCGCACAACCTATTCTGCTGCGTTTCTGAAAAATGTACAACCTTTCGTTATCAAAGTTACAAAAAGCTCAAAAAGAGAGAATATGGTTGCTCGCAATATACAACGAAAAGAATGTACATCATTCCCATGTTCATTTACCGGACTGATGACATCTAGCTGGCGACCACTCAGTATTTATCGCGAGGACCGACCAAGAAGAAAGAAACGGAAACTTGTTGAAATACTTTGTGCTGAGAATTCTATATTGTACCAATAATATAATATTGAATAAAGCTAATAATAATAATAATAATAATGATAATAATAATAATAATAATAATAATAATAATAATAACAATTAAAATTATTTTGAATCTGGGTCAGAAGATTTACAAGATGCAAAAATTGCAGCGATACAGGTCCCAAAGTGTTACTACAAAACGTCTACAGTTCCTTCGTGAAAGATCTAATAGAGGGGTAGCATATTAACCTTAAACAACCTACTATAACCCCGCTCCTCCGAACATATAAAAATTGATTGACGCTCTACACGAGGAATACAACCAGAATAAACTGGATATCAAACTGTTCGTCGCAGGAATTCAGAAGTAGCATATAAGAAAATTTAACGAGTTGGCAACACACATCAAACTGGTTGTAGAAGATCATAGATAATAGATCGATATTATGCTAGTTGTGTGATATCGCACACTATTTGAATTTACACAATTAGATAAATCAAATTGTGTCTTCAAAGTAAAATTTACGTTGGTCTATGTGCTTTTGCACGCGCCCTTATTTTAGTAAACTTGCTCAACAAATTTCGGAGTATATCAGTACGCAGCCTCTCGTTTTACACAATGGGAAATCTTCTATGTAAACATTTGTCTTGGCAAAAATATCCCTTACGTCTGATGCATATAGATCCGTCAATGGTATTTTTCATGTGTTACTATTCAGTGTATCACTGTTACCAAAATTTTTAGGCATTACTCTCAAGTTCTCATTACTTTTTTCAATCAACCGATATTTTTTGATAGTACGGCCAACCTGGAATAACTGTATATAAGAATGGGTGCTAGTTTACTTCCCATAAACCACAGGATCTGTTCTTATATAAAATTATCCTCATGCAATGTTCAAATGAAATCTTTCGTTGATATATTCAATCATGTACTGTAGCACTAAACTGGTAAGCAGTATTGACTAGCTTTCACTAACTGTTTAATCAATATTCTTAATGGATACTTTTGTCTAAGTTACATATATTTTTGGATTGCAGAAATTTAAAATCGGTAACAAAAAAGGTTGTCTACACAATCAGCTCCTGTGGGATTCGTATGTTATCCATACCTTTGATAAGTAAGTAAAATGATCCTAATAATGTTTTTTTTATCTAGCTTATATTAACCTATAAGAACTAGTTGAATTTTTTTCAAGAATAATTATTAAGAAGTTGAATAAAGTGCTTATTAGCAACCGAACTCGAACCAAAAGCGTCTAGATTACTGACTAATAATAATACTAGCAATCCATTAACCAAGTAGCAGATGCACGTATCTGACTTTAAGCTACTTTGTGTGTGTATGAGAGAGAGAGAGAGAGAGTTAATAATTATACTCAACTTTTCAAATTAAATTGGGCAGGTGGAGTTTAAATTTGCTACTGAATATGAAATTTCAAATTCACCTAACTCACTTTAACAAGTTAAATTTGTTTTTTTTTGGTAATTTCATTTTTGTAAGCGTGAAATAATTGATGTGGATGCACAACTTTATTTTCTTTAGTTATATATGGATTTTATAATAAAGTGGGATTTATGGAGTATTGTTTTTACTAAGGAACAAAACAAGGTTAATAAGTGGATAAGAAATAAGTGAAACTAGTACCGTACCGTCGTAATTATGACACTTCGTATGCTTAATGCCAAATGATCTTAATCCCATGTTTTCAAACAGTCAACAAATAATTCTAATTCCTATTCTTTTTAGTACTACGCAGCAAACAATAAGTATACTGTACATAATTTCGATATAAGCTATACTGTGATTATGATATACAATCGTTAGTTTTGTAAGGTCCTCAATCATAGTTATCTTTCTAAACACAGTATTCATGTTACCTATGCTGTTGACCCTTTTTATTAGTTTATCTTTCTGTACTTTATTGAGGTGTGCGTAATTATAAATCTAACCACATCTTTGTTATTACTAATGGTTTCTTTCCAAATCAGATCCAGTGAAAGTGAAAGTACCACCGTGTTAGAACTAACCAACCAACATTTCCCACCCTGTCGTTTTGTTCGAGTGCGAAACTTCATCCCAGAGGTGACAGCCTCACCACTTTGATCTGTTTTCACTACTAACCCTGGTTAATCTTATCTTTACAAAAATATTTGTCAACATACAAATATTTCTATAAGTACATGCAGTTTTTTAGTGTTAACTCGTATCAATTACTCTCCTTAATGTATTTGTTTATTTTACTTACGGTTTCATTTTTGAATACTTCACTCTGATTTACTTTGTCTCTGTTCTTACTTCAACTTAAGTTCTATACATAAGTATATTTACATCATACATGTGTACATAAACGCATGTTGTTCATCATGATTTATGTAATATTCGACTTCTCTAACTAGTTTCATCATGGATTTTAATCCACTCGCGTTTACTGTAATGAAGGTTTATCTAAATAGATCTTACATATCTACTACAAAATAATGTCTGGCATTCACAGTTCTTTGTTTAGTTGACTATTATGCATTACAAATTGCATAAAACGATAATTGTATTCTTTATACTAATGAAATCAAGACAAATGAATATCAAAAGTTTAAAATCTGAAGTAAGGCGTATTCCTCACTGTGGATCCGATTAGTAAGTTATTAAATGGAGAGAAAATCTAGTTTCCCAATCATTCTTTCAGCCTGATAATAACTCATTTCGAAATGGTTGATCTTGATTCCCACACGACCGAAGAAATTTCTCCATAAGAATACTCTCATATGATTGTGTAGTGCATCAATATTTATTACAATCCCACTAGTCAAAAGTTGACTCTTTCATTTTGTTGACGGATGACTTGCTTTACCCACTCACTTTTTTTCTACCTGGTCAATAACTACCTCTGAAAAATTGTTTTCAATGTAAATTTTGTTGTAGCCGTAATGAAATTATTCGTCATAGTGAGACTCGTTACATTTGATGCTTACATACTAACGTAGGTTCCAAAAGAAGTTTATTCGATTTAAATTTAGGAAACCCACCCATCACCTGTATTTTGTACCTCAGCTGGATTTAGGAAACGTGTATAATTGATGAGAGTTTCCTTCAGTTCATTTTGGATTGATATATAGCTGTGTTTGTGTAGGTACTGCACTAATCTGCTGAGTTGAAGTTTCGTTATCTAATTCAATTTCCACTAATCGTTTCTGTTTCTTAACTGAGATAACTCACATGGAAATTTAACTGCTTTCTCCTCCTATGCTCCCGATGTGATTAAGGATATCTAACCAGCTGAGTAGTGAGTCTACTAAGTTCTTGATGATGCTGTTAATTTCAACAATCCGATTCGCTTTCAGTATGATTTATTCTACACAGGCATCAACTTCCAACACATCTGTTATTGGCTAATCAGTTTACTCAATTTTGCATGCCATACCAAAACCAGAGTTCAGAACCAATAGCAACATTGAATAACGACCGTATGATACACGGAAAGTTTTAAGAATTCCGGAAGAAAATCAACTAATATTAGGTGCAACTTCTATCAACAGTAGAAACCTTATCATAATCTAAAGTATTATTTACATGATAACATCACATTACTGAACTAAGCTTTATACAACGCTTACAGTGTTTAGATAGTAATTTTCTATCGGACCTAACTTCCTTACCTTACGATCGTAACTAAAACTTCTGAATTATTAACGACAAACTCTCCTGATCCATCATTTTCCCAAACTGAAAAATCGAGAATCAAAAGGAAAGTACTTACTCACGCTTGTTACTCCTAAAGGAGCATAGGTCGCCAACCAGCATTCTCCAAATCACTTTGTCCTGGGCTTTCCTTTCCAATTCTATCCAACTTTTTTTCATTTTTCTCATGTCTGTCTCCATTGCCCAGCGTAATGTGTTCTTTGGTCTTCCACCTCTCCTTTGGCCTTGAGGATTCCATGTGAGGGCTTGTCTTATGATGCAGTCGGGTGCTTTCCTCAATGTGTTTCCTATCGACTTCCAGCACTTCTTCCTAATTTCTTCCTCCGCTGGAATCTACTTCGTTCTCTCCCACAGTAGGTTGTTGCTGATAGTGTCCGGCCAACGGATCCGAAGTATTTTGCGTAGATAGCTATTAATAATAAACACTTGTGTCTTCTGGATGATGGCTTTCGTAGTTCCCCAGGTTTCCGCCCCATACAGTAGAACTGTCCTGACATTTGTGTTGAAAATCCTGACCTTGGTTTCGCTTGACAGTTGTTTCGAGTTCCAGGTGTTCTTCAGTTGTAAATATGCTGCTCTTGCTTTGCCGATCCGCGCCTTCACTCCTGCACCAGATCCACCGTGTTCAATAATGATGCTGCCCGAATATGCAAAGGTTTTTACATCTTCCAAATCTTCTCCGTCAATTGTGATTGGATTGGTGCATGCCGTGTTGTATCGGAGAATTTTGCTCTTCCCTTTGTGTATATTGAGACCTACTGTTGCTGAGTCTGACGCTACACTGGTCGTATTTTCCTTCATTTGTTGTTGCCTTTGCAATAGAAGAGCCAGATCATCTGCGAAGTCTTGATCGTCCGACTGCATCCTAGATGCCCACTGTATCCCGTGCTTCCCTTCAGAAGTTGACGTTTTCATGATCCAGTCGATCACCAGGAGAAAGAGAAAGGGTGAGAGTAAGCAACCTTGCCTGACACCGGTCTTTACTTCGAAAGAGTTTGTCAACTGTCTTCCATGCACAATTTTGCAGTTTAATCCATCATAGGAATTCCGTATGATATTGACTATCTTTTCAGGTACGCCGTAGTGTCGAAGAAGCTTCTGTAGTGTTGTCCTGTCCACGCTATCAAATGCTTCCTCGTAGTCAATGAAGTTGATGTAGAGTGATGAATTCCATCCAATCGATTGTTCCACAATGATCCGTAGTGTTGCGATTTGATCTGTACACGATCGATCCTTACGGAATCCTGTCTGTTTGTCTCGAAGTTGGGCATCTACGGAGTCATTCATTCTGTTTAACAACACCCTGTTGAAGACTTTTCCTGGTGTTGAGAGAAGAGTGATGCCCCTGTAGTTATCACAGTTGCTGAGATCGCCTTTCTAAGGTATTTTGACCAGAAGTCCTTCTTTCCAGTCTCTTAATACTTGTTCTTCATCCCAAATCTTGCTGAAGAGAATGTGGAGTATCCTTGCAGTTACCGCTACGTCTGCTTTCAGTGCCTCTGTTGGAATGTTGTCTGATCCTGCTGCTTTGCCATTCTTGATCTGTCTGATGGCCATGCTGATCTCTTCAATTGTCGGTGGGCCAACATTGATTGGGTGGTCCGTGGGTGCTGCTTCGATGTTGGGTGGGTTCAGTGGGGCTGGCCGATTCAAGAGTTCTTTGAAGTGTTCTACCCACCTGTTTCGTTGTTCTTCCTTGTTGGTCAAAAAGAAAGTACTTTATGGAAATTGTGCTGTTAGTGTTGGCTATCACACCATTCGTGTGAGAAAGTCAATTAAGTACCAAATGACAAAGATACATTATCATGGATACATTCAAATCTCAAAAGAATCCTACAAGTGAACATATTACTTGACTAATAGGAAGTTTTGCTAGAATATACCTGGTAATGATTTAAACAAATGTATGTTTCAAGCTTTCTACTACCTATCACTGACCATTCTGTCAGAATGTATCAGCATACTGAGTAATCCAAGGTTAAAATATCCCCGAAGTATCGTAATCAAATCTTGAAAATATATGTGAGATATACTGAACTAGTGGATTCGAACACGTCGAAAAACTGCAACTTCATTGTGATCATACTACAATATTTAACGTAACATCTACTTAATTAAGGAACCATGAAATTGTCATAGCACTCAACTGGTTTTGACAAAATCTACTGGTAACCCTCCCCTTAAATTTTATCATGAATAGTGAAACATCGAAAGTGATCTACTCAACAATTAACATTAATACAGTCTTGTTAATTGAAAAGTGAATAGGATCTTTGATAAGTTTAACCAGTATAACTGCTGGACTGTTGTTTTGTATCAGCTCTGTAGAGTTAAATCTGTAGAATTAATCCATGGATTCGGATTCACAAAACTTGGAGAGGGATTGGCTGTTCGATCGTAATAGTCTATGTTAAAGTATAGAAAGAAGAAAACGTAAAACATGGGTATAAAGGCAAAGTGTTTCCTTTAACAAATTCATACCTTCATCTAGTGTCTGTTGTATGCTAGCGATCGATTACTCCCTATATATGTATCCGTAAATATTTACTTAAGATCGTCAGTTAATCCTTCCATTGCATATTGTAGGAAAATAACAGGGAATAACTCACAGAATACTCAACATTACAGCGCCTAAGTTTGGTCGAATTCATAGATCTGTTTCTTGCAACATATTTCCAATTTAACATTCAGGTTAACAGATAGATCAAGTAACTCCTATATATATATATATATAATGGCTAATTACAACTCTACCAATAATCAAACCGAAGACTTTAGTACATTACGTGGATGATTCATCCATTATCCCGAAGTGAGGTAGACTCCAAAATATTCATCAGTTGATTAACATCTTCGATGACATCAAATTTGCAAGAGGAGAGGGATCACAAAACAAAAGCTCGTTTTCAGATGTTCTAACCAACAAGACGAACACAGCAGCTTTAAAAACAAGTATGCAAGAAGTAAAGCCTTACTGATCAAATTAACTACAACAATAATAACTCAGCACGACGCTCAGAGTTGTGTACAGACAATATTTAAAAGAGCTGAAACTGCTATTGCACTGTGACTACTCGAAGAATCTCATCCCTGCCTTTCATAACAATGGATACCTCAGAGATAACGAAAGTTCCTTAACGAGTCAGTATACTATCAAAAAATCAATCCTGGAAACTAAGAAATAGATCGTCTGTGAAAAATGTCTCAGAAACCACCACAAGGATTCTGAAGCCCTTAAGAGCCAATGTCCCCCACAAATCAACCCATTCACCTCATTCCAAATTACCCAGACCGAAGGAGATACAACATCGTAAAAGATAAATTATTATCTGCACAATTAACCGTACCATCTGCAGAAGAATATTACATTGAACAAAGTGGACACTCTCTTCACCTATGCATTCAGAAAATAGACCGGCAATGGGACGACAAACGGGTTACTCATGGATAGCTATGGACGTGAGCTCGATCGGCGTCACGTCGAAGTTTTAGATCAGGGAAACCCTATGAATGCTAGAGAATTTCTGGTAGCCTGACAATCGATAAACATCGACACAAATTCAATCTCAACGCAAAGAAGGGGTCAACCAAAGAAATGAAGAGAACCAATTACCAACAAATGTGTCAGAATGAAATGTTTCATAAGTAATCAAGTTGAGATTGAAGACGACTGATTACTGTGTTATGTAGATTGGAAAATAAGATTGCAGAATGCTATAGATTGGATTCCAACCTATAGGTTGAGTTGTAACGTAATTATAGTAAGACATGATAAGTATTCCACTCAGTATCGTACTGATTAGTCTCAAATTAAAATACGTCATATGTTAACACCAAAGATTTTTAAAAATGTGCCAAAAAACGATTTTAGTTATCAAAAATTTCATACTTCCCAAAGACCCTTTAGTATTTGCTGAGGGAGATGTCGAACGTAGATGTAAAAGGATATTGGTTTCGTATTTATTACTTTGACTGTTCAGCAATCACTTGTTATCTGATTAATTTGAATTGGATATTATGCGTAAATAACGATGGCTTTTATTCCTTATTAATAGTCAGTTTGTTGGCTAATTGCTTTGTTTTCTCAAACCCATTTAGTTGGTGTTTAAGACGAACTACTTGAGTGCATATTATCTCATTTCGGTTATCTAAATTCCTGTACCATTGTTATCTAATAGAAGTAAGATGTCATAAAAATGATAAAAACAATTGTTGAATTCAATACAGGTAACCACCTATCGTATCTTTTTGTGTGATAACTTGTGATACCATTCGGCTATCCGAATGGATTCAGATAAAGCGAGGATTCCGATCTACAACTATTAGTCACTATGTAATTTCGAGAAAAAATGACAATAATCTATGACAAGTAAAATGATATCTACCTATTAGTTTTCCATCAGAATATCCATGTGAATAGTGTGAAGCGGATTTCTTACAACCAATCGATTTTAACCAATGGTCATAGGCTACAGTTGAAGCTTCTTTACGAGTTTGATTAGCTTTGTGTTTTTTGAATTCAATTTGTTTGATATAATCGATTTTCTTATACTCTTCTTCAGTTTTCTTTTTACACCACTCTTGATATTTCAATTTGGATTTCTGTGTCTGAGTTAAGACAAAACAGAAACGAAGTCCTTTCAAAATACTACTTAAGACGCGTAATTAGTAAAATGTGAACAAATAGGATCTTTGAATAATTGTAAGATTAATATGGCCACAAATTTGACTTGGAATTTAGTTCTCCCTAACACCTTAAGGCAACTAAAATGACGCTAATGCATATTGATTTTTCATTAACAAATTATTTTCAAGAAACCATGGCAGGAGAGCGTTTCATTTACACAACGATCCTTTTGTACGTCAGAAAACAAATGAATAGAAATAATATCATGTTAGTGATAAATCCAAGCAGTTCATCTTTCTACAACTATTATACAAACCACCACACTTATCGTAAATGAATGTTATACAGATCTGTGACTAGAAAAATTATCGGTAAATTAAAAGAATGGGATGACTCCATTCAAAAGTATCATTTTGTAGTTTACATCACGCAGTCTTGGGTAACCGCGAAGCACCGGACAGCTTTTACGCCCTAGTGTGGAACTTCCCAATAGTGCACAGCCGCAACTCCACCGAGGATTGAATCAAAGACCTCTGAGTCTCCCACCAACCTCTTAACTTCCAGACCACTGAACCGGTATTCAGTGGTTTACTTGTCTAGCTTCAATTAATCCTCGGTATTTGCGACCGTGGCCATTGATACTGGTTGTCTCATGCCCGATACGATTGAACTCTACTAGTCATATCTTCTCTCTAGAACCCTAGGGATTATCACTCTAAACTAATCACCAGCAAGCGTATGATGGTTTTCAATAACTGTCTCAATAAAATCTGTCAATGATGTAAACTTTGAAATTCAACTTTCTTCATAACCTACAATAAGTATTGTTTTGATAAAACTAAAGTGAACTTTGTGCTTTTGCTATTTCGGTTTTCAGATTCATTGTTAAATTAAACTTTAGTTGGAGTAAATTAAGCAGACCAAGCTCAACACCTTATATCAATATCACCATCATCACAGTGAGAAAAAATTCCCAAATTTATGTAGACGGTAATCATATGGTTACTATTAACTAATGTTGATAAGAATATCCGTAGTATCATTGAGAAGCAATAACTGATAGATGCAACCTTTTAGGTAGTGAGACAGATATTGTCAGTCGTAGTGGACAGTATACCAGGAGATATTGACCGATCAAATCAGTCTTGCAAAGTCATAACAAGAAAACTCGAGTTATAGTGACAAGTTTGTTGAATTGGTAATACTCAGCAGAGTCAAGATAGATTTGAGAAAACTGGGTTCAACTACTGGGAACCGTCCACCTTTCTTGTTACTTAATCCATAATTTTGGGAATCTGAACGGTACAGAAGCATTTAAGATTGATGAGTGAACAGTCTTTGGTGTAATGATTTGTTTAGATTTTTCATTGTTAATGTTCTTCAATCACGGTGATTTACACAACATGAAGTCCTATCCCAAAACCATTACATCCTTTAATGGTGATGGGAAATATGTATAAAACAGTTCTTATTTTTACTTTATATACATCCATAACCAGATCAATAGTGTGGGAGGCTATTAGTTACTAAACTCTTAACTCATGAATATTCATCACCTTTGACTCTTAATTAGTACGATATTTTTCATAACGGACTCACACCAGCTGTAAAAATAGCCAAAATCCTATGGGTATTTGTCAACTGTTTTCCATTATTTCGAGACTCGTCAACACACCCTGCCTACAAAAATACTTCTTTACTCACACCTGTTACACCTCGCGAAGGAGCATAGGCTGCCCACTAGCGCTCTCCATTCAACCCTGTCTTGGGCAATCCTTCCCAGTTGTTATTCATCCTTTTCATGTCTGCTTCCGTTCCCCGACATAGTGTGTTCTTCGGCCTTCCTCTTTCCCGCTTCCCTTCAGGATTCCAAGTTACGGCTTGCCTCGTGATGCAGTTTGATGATTTGCGTAATGTATGTCTTATCCATTTCCATCGTCTTTCCCTGTTTTTTTTCTTCAGCTGGAAGCTGGTTTGTTCTTTCCCATAGTAGGCTGATGCTGATGGTCTCCCGCCAACGGACATTCAGTATCTTGCGTATACAGCCATTTATAAATACTTTTACCATTTTGATGATGGTTGTTTCATATCTCCTTCTCTTTCAGCTTGTTCCGCCGTCGTTGCTAGTTCTTCCACGTACTTCTGCTTGTCGGCTTTAATGCTCTTCTTCACTTACTTGTTTGCTTCTGTGTACGCAGCTTGTGTCTTGACTTTCTCTGCTCGTGTTCGGCTGTTGTCAATTGCTGTCTTCTTATTCTTCCTTTCTTGAATCTTTTCCAGGGTTTCCATAGAGATCCATTCCTTATAGTGATGCTTCTTGCTGCCCAGAACCTCCTGACACGTTGAAGTTAATGCTTTTTGAGATGGTGGAGAAGATTTGTAGCTCAGGTGGATGATTTTGATGGAGTTTTGTTCTCTGAGCTGGATGGCACGACCAAAACCATCCAGCTCAGAGAACAAAACTCCATCAAAAAAAAAGAAGTTAATGCTTCTTTGATAACTTTCTACTTGCCCTCCATAGTAGTTTCTTCTTCCTTCAGTATATCTTGTGAGGCTTGGAACCTGTTATTGAGAGATATATTGAATTCATTGAGTTTGTCAGTATCTCGAAGGAAGGCTGTATTGAACCTTTGCAATGCTGTTTTGCTAGTTGTCCAGCGTTTCTTTAGCTTTAGTTTCATCTTGGCAATCACCAGGTGGTGATCTGGAGTCATGTCAGCTCCTCCCTTGGTTCTCGCTTCTTCCATTGACCTCCTAAATTTCTTGTTGATGCAAATATGGACAATCTGGTCCTTCGTACTGTAATTCGGTCAGACTCATGTAGCTTTGTGCAAGTTTGTGGGGTAATATTCTGCCGCCTATAATCAATTTGTTGAATGCACATAAATTTGCAAATCTGTCACCAATCTCGTTCCTTTCTCCCGGGCCATGTCGTCCCATGAAATCTCTATACTTGATGTTGTCCATTCCGACTTTTGAGTTTGAATCTCTCATCAGGACAGTCAGGGCCTTTCCTTAGCACTTCGTTATGATTGATTACAGCCTCTCATAAAACTGGTCTTTATCGTCGTCATTGCTATCATTGGTGGGTGCATAACACCGGATGACATTCATTGTGATTTTCTCATTCTTTGTTTTGAAGGCTGCTTTGATTATCCTGAATCTATGAGATTTCCATCCTATGAGTGCACTACATGCTTCTTTGTACATCATCAGAGTAACTCCCCGAGTGTGTGGAGCATGTTTTTCTTCGTGACCAGAGTACAGCAGCATCTCTCCCGAATCTATCCTTTTCTATCCAACTTTGGTCCAGTGGACTTCACTGACTCAGAGCACTGCCAAATTGTAACTGCTCATTTCCGTAACTATTTGATTGGTCCTCTCGGTCTCCCACAGTGTCAGGATATTTAATGTGCCTATATTAATTGTTACTCTGGTTGTTAGAAGTGGCATCAGTCTCGTAACTTCTGAAGAATCTCGGCCTTCCTCCTGAGGCGTCATGATTTTCCCTTCAACTCCCAGGGCAGAGTTTAAATGGTTAAATTTGTTTAATCTGGTTGGCGTTTCTTGGCAAGATTTTCTTCTACGGGATGAGGTTGCCGACCCCATGCCCAACTCTCCTCTTTTACCCGGGCTTGAGAACGGCAGTATATCTTGGAGAGCTACAGGCCGAGTTACCTACAAATATATACATAGTTAGACCTACGGCGTTCAGATCTCTTGACAGGTAAAGCATCATTAAATAAAAACCAAACTAAGTCAATTTACAATAAAATGTGGTCTATATCCAATATCACTGGTGGGTAGTTGCTTCTGTTCTGTCTTCGTTGATCAAAGTACATCCTACTTCAGGTTATGTGTATGAATTATAGTATAAAGTGGTATATTCCTAACATATATATCAAAAGATCACGTTTTATAATTGATCGGTCCAGTACTGAAGAATGAAATGCGAACAACTTACACTTGTTTTACAAAAATACAGACTGGATTAAAAGTCTGTACAGTTAACTCACAGAATTATTTAATATACTTCATACATATATCAATTTCATTAAATTGTTAATCCAAAATCACTAAGATAATAATTAGTTGAAGAAGCAAAATATATTCCTGTTCAAAGACAGTATTAACAAGATCACTAGTCAGCATTTTGAATCTATATGTTAAAAAGGATGAGTAAAAGCTATAACTTACGTGTTCAAGTAATTCTTGTAATTTTTTTGATTCTTCATTTTTCTTCTCTATCTCTCGAAGTTTTTTAATTTGTATTCTTTCTTTTTGTTTTGCTTCAGTCCATTCTTTACATTTTTGTTCAACTAACCTTCTACGATTTATTTTTTGCACCAATAACTGATTCCTCTTTTGAATTTCTTCAATCTTTAAAACGTTCAAAATTAATTATGATTGTTGTTATAAAATAAAAACAACTAACAAATGTATTCAAAAAAATATACAATTTTTGAGATATCCCAATGAGTAGAAATTTGTACTTCTGGAGTTTCGTGACTTGACGTAAGTCACTTGTTCAGAGTAAATAAATAACCGAAATAGATTAACACAAGTCTAATTAGTATAAGGAAAACAAAGCAGAACATTTAATGCAATTGGTCCCTCTTATAACATTTAACAGAACAGTGAAAAAAAAACAGAATTAACCTGAAAAGTGTGATGTGTTCGCGTTGCACATTTCGAGCAATCTGGTCACACATATTTGCCGAGGCATTTTATGCGAAAACTGATAAAGGTCAGATTCATAGAAGTTTTGACTATTCTCAGATCCAAACCCCCTTATATGTACAGAAACAATTTGCCGTGGTAATCTTTGAGTCGTTTGCATGGTGTAGGGTAGTGCAACAATTTCCTATTCTTTCCATAGTATGTTTATTTTCTCCTTTATCTACAGTTACCACTTTATTTATCTGAACTTTCAATGTTCTATCTTATTACGGTCTCATTTTAAACTATGGTTAAAAAGGCATCAACATACTAATGTCCTGAATATAGCACCGTAGTTATACCTTAGTTACTAGGGGAAAGACTTTATATTGCGTCATTCGAGTTAGGGAGCTGTTGATTAACGCATCCTAGAAAAAAAATCTAAAATGTCCTAGTTCAAGAACAGCAGGTTGTACCTTAGAATATGGGATCGTAGTAATGACTACTACAGCACACCTTTAGTCAAGAGTTCTATTCCACCTTTTGGGTCCACTATATTTTATTTGTAACTAAATATCTCATTAAGAATCACTTAGCTACTTACAAAACACGATTTTCTGAGAAATGTAATTTTAAAATGTTTCGTTTGTCTGGGATCTCAGAAGCATCCAAAAACCAGACGTCTAGTGCTCCTTGATTTCTTTCAGTGATTCTCCTTTTAACATTCATTAGTGGTAAGAGCTACTCTTTTCAAATAAATTAGAACTTGAAAAAATGAAATGTTCAATATAATCTGTAGATTTTAAGTGCTTAATTACATGATTAGTTTGCCCTAAGTCATACAGCTTGTGAAGTCAAAGCCATTTTCCATTTCAGCTAATCATCATCACTAGCAATAATTTTCCCCATAGAAATAATGTATAATACATTCTTACCTGTTTCTTTTTTGACTCTCTTTTTTGTTCTCGTCTTTGTTTTTCTTTCTCTAACAACCAACATCCCCATGCCGACAGTTTATCATTCGAATTGTGTAGACATTTAGCGTTATTCACCACATCACTTTTTGAGCTTATAGTTACGTTATGGTCGTTTTTAGAGATCACAGGTTTGATCAATAAATGATCTCGAACACATTCACTGATCAAGCATTCTGTTATATCATACAAATCTGAGGTAGGTGAACCCCCACTATGAGGTGAAACTTTAGATGATGATCGATTATATGTTTGTTCATTACTAGTACTATCGGTAGTAGTAAATTGCTTGGTTGATACTTTTCTTCTTAGATTAACAGTATGGTAATCTGTGTCTAACACAGTTTTGTTTTGTTTTCTTGTGCTTCTGAAAAGATTTCGAGTATTTTAAAAATATCTGAACAGTTTATAGTTTAAAACTCAATAACAACAAAGTTCTGTTAAACATACCGCTCCTTATTTCAGTCAAGATGATAATTTCGAAGAAAACCCCTTGCTCTATAAAGTTTATTCCAACCAGAGTATGAAATCTCCGAGTCGTAGGATATTTCTCTCTGAATGCACTAGTCAGTGTGAGTGTAATACACTTCTTGATTATATGATAGCATATTTTGTGTACATAATTCATGTCTTAATTTTATTCTGAAGACATCAGAAGTAGGCAACTTCTACCCAAATGAATAAGCTAATTTATTTTTTAAGAGACTAATCATTCTGTTAAGACCTCTGCATTATTTTATGGTTATATAAGATCAAGACTAAGCTTAAGCGGTCGGTCTTCGGAGCAAGCGGTTTGCTGCTCTTCTATTCCTTACTTAGTCTATGTGTATAAAATGCTTGTTTGTTCAGATAAATAATTTGTGTGAATATTTCTCCATTGAGTTACGTCTTCCAGAATACCATTGTAAACCATAGATCACTGGAATTCTGTTTCTTTGCTGGTTAGGGATATTCAACAGCCCACATTTACAACCTCCAAACCTTGGAGCGAGCACACCATTGCTAGATTTCAATCTCACTCCATAAGTCCCCAATCTCAGTTGCATATAAAGCAATCATCGACAAATGCCCCCGGTCACTAATTATCTCTCTCCTAGCATAGTTGAATCCATATTTAACTGATTAACACTAGTGAATATTATTTTTATCGGCTATTTGACAAAATACTAAAATTAATAAAGTGGTTGAAATCGTAATTCCCGATAGCCGAATATACTTCAGAAGACAGAACACCTAGACGACTGACTGAATGTGTAACAGAAACAAACCCAATATTTGTGTAAATAATTTTTAATTAAGATGGTAGAATTCACCAGATAACAAATGACGAACTTACAATAAAAAAATGTAGGTGATAAATCAACCAATTTTCACTTTATCAAATATATTTTGCTTTAACAGAAAATATCAATATAAAACTATTGATTTTCGTGTCAGTTGAATAAATAATCTTAGTTGCCCAAAAGTAGAAAATACTCACAATAGTACTCTTGCTGATTGTCGAATCCACCCCTTTCCAACAGAATTTCAACCAATGGAAAATCAAAATAAACAAATCGGGAGACTTTGAATGACCGCATCTTTCTCAACACGAGAATCGGATTCACTATCTGATAAACGTTCCATGATAAGTCAGGTTTTATTTGTTATTAGTTTAAAAGGGTTTTCAATCTTTCTACTCGTAAATATTTATGAGTGAAGCGATCAATCTCTGTTAAAATATGGGCTGTCGAACAAACGTTTCGATATCATCTCTACTTATAATTTAACTATATCGTGGAAAGTAACCTGCAGTAGAATCCAGAACACATATTTAGAATAGGTCAGCTGCATAAAACCAGATTCTAGTGCTGGTGTTCCAAATAAAACATAAATTGTTCGGATACAGCCACATTTATCTGACGTTTTTTAAATGTAATGAATCCCTCTTTCTGGACGTCACTGCTAAAGACTATTCAAAATATATAGGAAAAATGATTTCGAATTCCCAAGTTTTAGACAACTAGTCAATAATTACAAGATTAGACATCCATCAAGGTAATGGTAGTAATGGAGTGAACAAGAACACAAGTGGGGACAATTGAATGTATTTGAATACAAAAATGTCAGAACTATACAATATATGCTTCATTTGCAAAATGTCAATCAGTTGTCTCATACTTAATTTTTACTTCGTTTCCACACTAGTCATTTTCTGTTCTCGTTCTCTTCTCTTCGATATTATTAACCTTCTCTCTCCAAGCAGTCCACTTTCAATTGACGGTACATACTACTTATATCTGTCGACATCAGTAAGTCAGCAAACATAGAACAAACTACATACTAGAAACTGTGATTCTCTTGTTATGATCCTCAGAAAATAAGACTGAACATACTTATCCCATTGTACCGGCATAGCATAGCAAAGTATTCTCTACCAATCGAGTCAGTTTAAAGAACAATGTAAAAAAAACTACCGCTAAAGACAATCAGTCAGATTCAAGGTTTTCCTGCTTAGCTCGAAATGTTACTTTGGTGACGTAAGCACTTACACTATAAAGTTAGGCCAAAGCAACTTAACTCATTTTGCAAGAATGATACATATCAGTAAGTATTTATGAATACCACAAACTTTAAATAAATTATACCCTCTTATCCTAATTCATAAAAACCCAGTTAATCAGGAATTAAAAATGAATTGTGAACCGATAATTTAGTTGAATTCGGAAATAATACATTCTTATACAGTTACTACAAGTATAAATGACCTCAACATTCTCGGAAATCGGGTAACTAATCGATTATAATAAAGCCAGTGGGTAAGATCTTTGAAGCAGTAAAACTGAAAAAAATTTCTTAAGAATAATCATAGTTTTTTTAGTGACATCATGCTATTTTGAAGTAATAGAGTGAAAAGTTTGAAAAGCCTTCCTAAACTTACCTGGTCTTACATTTTTCGGGTTTTGATATACGAGAAATGAAACAGATGGAACATAGACACTCATACCGCCTAGAAAGAATATTACGGCCTTTCCCATCCTACATGAAAGAAAGAACAGATAATGAATACATGTGCTAACCATCCTAAGTAAATTAGCAAACTCTGTTTTTAAACCAGAAATTACGTTACTTGTCTATTCACAAAGTAATATGAGGACTTATGACGTTGGATACTGCTAAAACCGAAATTGCACAAATTCGCTATCATTAAAGATACCATTTAAATTGCATCCATCAATCCGTGAATATAATGTAAAAAGTTTTGGCTCTACATTTCATGATCCTAGCTACCAACAAATAGGGAGTGATAAGAACTATTGATGAATACCGACAAACATGTGAAAATTAGATTTATGATTCATTAGTCTTAAATTTAGGAAATTAATAATTTTATGACAATAAGTCTACAAGAAATTCGTATAAAATTCAAGCAAGGCTACTTATCATTTCCTAGATTACTTCTATAATTTTTAATTTATTCTGTACAATCACCGACCATATATGAAGCTGTGAACGGACTTTAAAAAATCCCTGTATATTGATTTATCGGCGGTTATACCGCTGATCAATTTGGAAGAGTAATCAAGACTCCACGATATATGTTGGTGGATTGGATGAAAAAGTTAACGAATCGATCCTTTGGGAACTTTTCTGAGCAGCCTTGTCTGACATCGGTCTTCACTTGGAATACATCAATCAGATGTCCTCTATGCACGACTTTTCAGTATAGTCCATCGCACAAATACCCTATGGTGTTAATGATCTTCTCAGGTATACTATAGTGTCTAAGACGTTTCCATAATGTTCTCCTGTCCACATTGTCAAACGTCTTCTCATAGTCAATGAAGTTGATGTATAGTGACGAGTTCCACTCAACTGATTGTTCAACGACCATCCGTAGTGTCGCAATTTGGTCTGTGCACGACCGATCCTTACGAAATCCAGCTTGTTGATCTCGAATTTGGGCGTCTACTGCATCCTTCATCCGGTTCAGCAACACTCTGTTGAAAACGTTTCCTGATACTGACAGTAGTGTAATGTAGTTCTCACATTTGCTCAGATCTCTTTTTTTGGTATCGTGATGAGGTGTTCTTCTTTCCAGTCCGTCGGCACTTGTTCTTCCGCCCAAGTTTTCTTAAATAGAAGGTGAAGCCTACTTGTAGTTACTTCCATGTCTGACTTTAGTGCTTCAGCTGGTATGTTGTCAGGTCCTGCTGCTTTCCCACTCTTGATTTTTCTAATGGCCATCCTGATTTCTCCGATCAATGGTGGGGTGAAATCTATAGGAAGGTTTGTAGGTGCTACTTCGATGTCCGGTAGATTCAATGGAGCTGGTCTATTTAACAGTTCCTCGAAGTATTCTACACATCAATTCCTCTGTTATTGAACTTCAGTGACTGGCCTGCCTTCTTTGTCCTTGTCCGATCTCTCAGGTTTACGATATTTCCCTGCTAATTTCTTCATTGTTCCATATCTCCTTCTCTTTCAGCTTGTTCCGCCGTCGTTGCTAATCCTTCCACGTACTTCTGCTTGTCGGCTTTAATGCTTTTCTTCACTTACTTGTTTGCTTCTGTGTACGCAGCTTGTGTCTTGCTGAAGAGAATGTGGAATATCCTTGCAGTTACCGCTACGTCTGCTTTCAGTGCCTCTGTTGGAATGTTGTCTGATCCTGCTGCTTTGCCATTCTTGATCTGTCTGATGGCCATGCTGATCTCTTCAATTGTTGGTGGGCCAACATTGATTGGGAGGTCCGTGCGTGCTGCTTCGATATTGGGTGGGTTCAGTGGGGCTGGTCGATTCAAGAGTTCTTTGAAGTGTTCTACCCACCTGTTGCGCTGTTCTTCGATGTTGGTGATTACGTTACCCTCTTTTTTTCCACTGGTCGTTCTGGTTTACGGTAATTTCCAGATAGTTTCTTTGTTGTGTCACACAGTTGTCTCATTTTTCCTTCTCTTGCAGCCTTTTCCACCGTCGTTGCTAAATCTTCCACATATTTACGTTTGTCGGTTTTGATGCTCCTTTTCACTGGCTTGTTTACTTCTGTGTATTCAGATTGTGCCTTGGCTTTTTCTGCTCTTGTTCGGCTGTTATTGATTGCTGCCTTCTTGTTCCTCCTTTCTTAAATCCTATCCAGTGTATCAACAGTGATCCATTCCTTGTGGTGGTGCTTCTTGTGGCCCAGAACCTCATGACATGCTGAAGTGATTGCCTCTTTGATCCCCCTCCAGTTGCTCTTCATAGTAGTTCCCTCTCCATTGAGTAGATCGTGAAAGGCCTGGAACCTATTACTGAGGGCTGTCTTGAATTCACTGAGTTTGTCAGTATCCCGAAGAAAGGCCGTATTAAACTTTTATGCTGTTGTCCTCCCCATTGCCCGGTGCTTCTTGAGTTTCAATTTCATCTTGGCGACCAGCAAGTGATGATCTGATGCTATATCAGCTCCTCTCTTAGTTCTCACATCCTCCATTGTCCTCCTGAACTTATTGTTCATGAAGATATGGTCGATTTGGTTTTGCGTAGTGTGATCCGGTGAAGTCTATGTGATTTTGTGAATGCGTTTATGTGGAATATAGTGCCGCCTATTATCAGTTTATTGGAGGCATATAGGTTTGCAAATCTCTCACCATCTTCGTCCCTTTCTCTCAGTCCGTGTCGTCCCATGATGTCTTCATATCCGGTGTTGTCCATTCCAACCTTGGCATTTAAATCTCTCACCAGAATGTTCAGGTCTTTTGTTGGGCACTTCTCGACGATTGACTGCACCCTATTGTAGAATTGATCTTTAGCGTCTTCATTGTAGTCGTTGGTAGGCGCATAGCATTGGATGACGTTCATTGAAATGAATAACAAAAAGATCTAATCACTAACTTTCCTAATACTATGTAGTTTCAAAAATTAAGTTACCTGACAATCAATAATAATGCGTATAGAGAATCCATCTAGAGGAGTTAGAAAACTCTGATTCCAAACCAATGGGGCATATGGGTCCCAGAATCCCGAGGGGACAAATGGCGTATGAACCTGTTGTTAGGCATCGGCTACCATAGGACTTTATCTCTTAACGTTGTTCCATTGCCTTGTGGATTAAACATCTAAATCAAAGGCTGGGTGAGTGGCCTTGTCAGGTATGCTGAGGAGTATACCAACAGGCCTCTTAAGAAAACCACCCGGGCAGTATTCCATCCAATGATGATCGTGTTGTTGTATCGTGAGTGTATTGATCCAATTCGGGCAAAATAAAATCGTTCAGTATTTTCTGACTTTTAGTTACCGTTAAAAATAAGCCAATCAATAATTTAGAGTACAACAAATCAGGACAATTCAGTCGTGAAATCTTTTTTTCTTGTTTGTTTCTTGAGATAACAACAAAATCTTGTGTATGTGGGGCATTTTCTTCTTCATGGCCGGAGTATAACAGAAGCTCCTTTGAAGCTAGTCGTTGTTGTCCAACTTTCGTCCAATGTGTTTCACTGATGCCAAGCACCTCTAGGTTGTATCTCCTCATTTCTTCAGCAATTGGGAAGACCCTCCCGGTCTCCCAAATTGTACGAGCACTTCATGTACCTAAATTAATGGGTGCTCTGGTTGTCAGAAGGGGCATCAGCCTCGTGACTTCCGAAGGAATTCGGCTTTTACCATGTGGCGTCATAATTCTTCTAAATGAAGAACTTCTGATTCCCAGGGCAGAGTTTAATTGGTTTGAATACTTTTTTTGGTTAGCGTTTTTTAGCGAATTAGTTTTCTACGGGATTGGGTCGCTAACCCCACGCCCAACCCTCCTTCTTTATCCGGGCTTGAGATCGGCAGTAGCCCCGGAGGGTCTCCAGGCAGAGTTTCCATAAATTATAGTCTCGCCGAAAATGTTTCAGAAGAACCAAACACTGATGACCTCTTATCAACTGTCACTGATCCTCACCATCTAGTCAGTTTTATTGGATTTTCTATTCATTGCGAGAAATCTGTTTTAAATAAAGTCACATTAATTGTAACTTGTGGTTATGAGGATCCAATATTATTTCGTGAGGGAGGATAAAGTCAGAAAATTTAAAGTCAGGATTTGAACTTCGAATATTCAGAAAAAAGTGTTATATCCGAATGAGTATTATGAATGGTAACTTTTGAGAACTATTTATGGGCAAGTATTATACATATATTCTTAATGTATAAATATTCAGTAGCTAGATTATGTATATCTTACTCCTCTTATTACAAGCTTTATTTTGATCTATAAACCATTATTATATTATTTACCGTTCTTGAGTTATGCCCAATCTATCAATTGCAGTCTTCCACATGCACAGCCACTCTTGGCTAAATTTTGCACAAGTGTTATTTTCTATTTTATGGTACGATGTTGTCTGTTTGGTTTGTATATAAACCCAGTATGTTTGAAATACATGATTCATATCGCGGAGACTAGGATTGGTGTTCTGGACTCAACAGGCAGGGCTAGGCAGGAAGAAGGACCGATAAGGACTCTAGACTGCTCGTACGGGTTTATGCGTAATTGGTCCGGTCGATATGTCACTGTTCTCTAATTGGCGGTATCATTACGTTATATATTAATAGGGCACAAGACCAGAAGTTATAACATAGATTATCACTTAAAATTTGGAAGTAAAATCAATCATTATTTATTGTCCCAATAACGTTGTGTAATATTTTAAAAGATGAATGGTGGCTAGCAGTGGGATCCAAGATGAACATCCTATCTTGTTTGAGATTCGTCAACTGGATGTACATGAATTCCAGAGTTGGTGTTAATTTCGGGGCTGGGACCCAGTACCATTCGCTTCAATCGCCATCACGTCATCCACCTAGTTATTGTGTTCAGATAGCCACTGGCCTGGGTATGTATTGGTTGTTTGGATCTTCTCATTGATGTTTGGGGCTGCAACTGAGACTCCAAAAGAGACTGACGAACTGCAGTCTTAAACATCGACGGGAAGATTTAAACAACAAATATATGTGAGTTAAAATTGTACAAGATTTTCCCATAATGCTTAAAAAGCACTTAAACTGTAAGGTAAAAACCACTGAACCATTAAAAAGCAGGAATAATACATTGGTAATATGTTGATCTGTAAATATTTGAGACATGCTCACTAACTGAAGCTCTATGCAGTTGAAATTCGTTTCAATACGACGCATATTAGATCATCTTGATGCAGTCTTGTATTTGTTTAACTACAATGCAATTGTTCAATATTCTGTTACTAGTGTTACTTTTATTTACTGTCAGTCTCAATAGAAGTTCAACTCCATTAAAAATAGACCAAATCTTGGTGCTAATATATTTCTACTGTTATTTCACTCAAGGCGTGTCAATTCAATCCCATTGATTGTTTGTTACTACTGTATATGCTAGTTTATCCAATGATTTAAATATACATTAAGGAACATGATTATTCTAGCTCTTACTCAGTTCGTTTGTCCTCGGTCATTAAAATACCATTAAGATGTCTTCGAATTTCAATAACGAGATTATGATTCACAGACGACGTTTGAGCGGTCTCAAAGTGGCCTTGAAGAACCTTAACCAATTTCTGTGGTCGAAATAGGGTTATAAATTAACATGGGGAACTAACATCAGAAGTTTGAGTTAGAACTTAGTGTTACAAATTAGAGCCAGGACTTTCATTACATCAGCTATCATGTCAAAATTTTCGTTGTTCGTATTTATGGATAAATCTCGTTCCAAAATCCAAGACTCGTTATCTTATGTCTAATTAGCCCGTCCATAAATTACAGTCCTTTACCTTAATCTCAACAACTGAAGTGTTGTTATACATATAATTTTAATCTCTTGAGGAGGACCCAAAAAGTAATGGTTGAGAATAATAAGTATTCAGCCATATCGTATACTTTTTTTATCATTTGCGATACGATTTTAGAACTGATCCATGGGAAATGAACAGAAAGATGTCTGAGCCTGTACAACAGAAAACCAAGTGGAGCTAGACACTAGTTTTATGTGTAACCAATAAAACTATGTTTCATTAGATACAAACAATTAATTGGAGGTTTAACAGACAATACAGCAAAGATAGTATGTATTTTTCTACTTTGGGTTTTTCACTATTACACAGGCAAAACGTGAGCTCAGATTTCTTACACACACACGATCTAAAGAACCTGTGTGAAAACATCAAATAGATGTAGATGTAGGCAAAAAATAGCTCTGTCGCTGCTTGAGAATATTTGAAGTACTTCTTTGTGACTTACAGACACAAAGTTACAGGAACCAGATCTTCGTTTTTCACTGTCATCTGTGTGTTTTTCATAAAATACTGGAGTACGTTTCAGTGATGCTGTCCTTTCAAAACGATTTCTAGCCAAGTTAGAACGTGAGCTTGGACAACGAGATAATAGTACATTGCTAACTCCAGAACATTCCTTCCGTGTTATAAGCTTTGATTTGTGATCATCACTATCTCGAACCGTTCTTTGCTGTGTATCACAGGGTATTTGACAACTAAAATGTGTCTCATGACTGTAACGGTTACCATTTGCAACATAGTTACCTTAGAAGTGATGAATATTGATTACTGTCATCTGAAAAAGAATAATCACTTTGATCAGAGTATTTATCCAAAGCAGATTGTGCGAGTAATTCTGTACTAAAGCTCTCAGAAGGACCAGGCGATTCACTAGTAAATACAAACCCCGAATTTCGATCAGAAAACGTGGTTCCCTCCAATAAACATGAATATTTCTTCATGATATGGTATTGTTATACTTTTTGAAAATCAGATTATGTTTCAGTCTCAGTTTGAAAAGGATAGGAGGTTAGGCGGCCTGTGTTGGTCCTGGCAATGATGGTCTCTCAGTTGATCCACCTTTCTTTTGAAAGAGTCGACAGATGGAACTTCGACCACGTGTTGAAGTAACGAATTCCACTCGTTGATGATTCGATGGGAAAGTCGATAGTCAGCTGACAAGTAATTTGTTCTGGGTTTGTGAACTTTTTTGGAGTGTCCTCGTAAATCCTCTGTTTTGAAAGACAAGAAAAATGAAGACGTATCAGATGTAAACTTATCATTAAATAAATTGAAAACTGTAATCAAGTCACCTCTAGTTCATCGATATGACAATGTGAAAACGTTTAGTTTAGCCAGTCTAGCATCATACGGAATCTTCGCTATCCCAGAAATCAGTTTAGTTGTTATTCTCTTAACCTTCCCCAAAAGCTCACTGTCTTTCTTAAGCAGAGGCTAGCCGCTTGTATGCAGTACTCAATTTTAGAATGCACGAACACTGTATACAAAGTCAAAAACACTTTAGTGTCGACATGGTTATAGGCCCTACGTATTGACCAAAAGGTTCTAAAGCCTTTGGCGGCTATCGCAAGGCGATGTGCAGCAGTTTTTAAATCTTGGCTAACGATGACTCCTAAGTCGTTGTGTGTCTGGACAACAGGTAGCTCGATGTTATTCACCATTTATGCCAGCAACAACGTAGAAATTAGTACATACGTACATCAGTTCGAGTTGCCATACCACATTCGCACAGAGATACAGTAATCGGAAAGATTAGGGTTTGAAGATGTTATCGAAAGAGTATAATCCAGTGAAATAAATTTGGAAAGAGAAAAAAAGACAACGAGAATACAGAAGACTAGAATTTGGGAGAACACAAAGAATGAATGCACCTGCTCACACCATTGCAAGCGATTTTGAGACATGTCATTCAAGGTCTCTAACCATCGGTTGCAATCGTCCCGCGGACCCCAAACAGGTAGTCTACACCTACCAACATGACTCAGTCCACTTGTCAGTGACTTCATGGGTTTGTGACGTGTTTTGGTATGGCCGCCCCTAAATTTCTTCCAACCTACTACTACACCATAAAATATTGCATGTCGGGGCAGTTGGTGGTTGGGCATACGTAACACGTGTCCCAGCCATCTCAACTGATGAAGTTTCACTACGTCATCAATCGATTTGCCATCCTTGTCTAGTACCCGTTTCCTAACAACTGTATTACTTACCCGGTGGTCCCAGGATATACCGAGTAAGTATGTATCTGTACCTTGACGACCAATATGCATCACAATGCACTTGGAAGTATTTACCAGCAACTGTCAAGTCTGAGACCATTCAGATAATTTATCCAGGTCATTTTGAAGCTCTAAGCTATCAAATTTACTTTTTATCGCCCTCCATATCTTGACGTCGTCAGCATATAGCAAGGCCGATGATAGGAGACGAGGAAGGTCATTTACATACAAGAAAAACTATACTGGCCCAAAAACTGTATTTTGAGGCACTCCGCTAGACAACTTTGAGTTCACTCGTACTCTTTGTTGGTTCCAAACCAGGAAGTCTTTATTCGAAATTAATAGATTGCCTCCAACCCTAACATTTCTTAGCTTATATAACGGTCGGTTGTGAGGGACTTTGCCAAAAGCTCTGCCGAAATCAATGTACACTACGTATATAGATAACTTTTGGTCTTTAAGAGCGCACCAGCTTCCACAAGTCACTAATAAGTTAGAGACAGGAATAACCTATTCTAAAGGCATGCCGCTTTTCCGAAAGGATCCGATTTTCATCAAGATACGTAAACATCTCCTTCCGAATAATCTTTTCTAAAATTTTAACAACCACGCTGGTTATAATAACGGGGCGGTATTTTTCAGTTTTATGTTTTATGCCTGTTTTGAAGGTAGGACTTACTACGGCGTCCTCCCAGTCTTTTGGTTAACGACCCTGAGTTACTGATAGATAAAAACACATACTTAAGGGGTTCGCAACAAAATTAGCTGGTTTCTTTAGTAACCTAGGATGCATTTCATCACTGAGTCCTGTAGATTTGCTTATATCAAGCTTATTTAGCAGACCAAAGACATCGAACTCTTTAATGGTTACGTCCAGTATATGTATGGGGGAATTTGTATGAACTGACGAGAAGGGTGTCTCTAGGGTTTATAAAGTGCTAAAGTAGTTTGAGAATAATTGAGCTTTACCATGGTCTTTCTCCACTAATTATGATGTATTACTGTCTCCCCATAGTGCTGGAATGTTTCCTCTTTCCTTTGTCTGTTTGTTCGTATACGAATACAAGCGTTTAGGGCATTCTATACATTCCCTTAACAGTTTTTTCTTTATACAGCCTTCTAGACTTGAGGAGGGTCGATGCACAAGTATTTTGAGCTACTCAATATTGAGGTTTTTCCCCATCAGTACCCAGTATCCTAAATCTCTCGCACATTCTCCTCCTCTTGCGGAGAAGGATGCAAATCTGTTTACCGAATAAAGGTAGGAAGTCTATCGAATCCCTCGGTGTAGTCTAAGGGATGCGCGGTGCAGTAACTTAAGTACAAATTTCGAAATACATACCAAACTGTTTCAGTTGGAGACTCTGGACCTATTGTCCAATCTACTGACGATGCTGAGTGCATAATATGTTCTATATTTGCTTTCCAGATGCTAGGTTTGCATCGGGCTGATACGTGATCGTTGTTGACAACTATATAAAAGTCAAAGATTAGAACTGCATGATCACTTTTACCTAGGGACGGCATGTAATCGAGGTTCATGACGTCATCTTCATAATGGGCCAGTATAAGATCTAGTAAGGAGGATTCAGATTCCGGGTCGTACTTAGTCGCCTCTCACATGTTGTACCACGGCACATGTGGTAACCTCATCAACCGTTTCCTGTCCGAATAAGTCTTCTGACATTTCAGTTCTCAGATTTTTCCAATCTGCCGTGGGTGTCTTAAAGTCTCCTAGGATTAGGCATCGAATAATTTGTGACCAAGTATTGAGACCATCTGGCAAGACCTCATTTGCCTCATTTGGGGAAATGGCACAAAAACCCCAAAATTCCACTTTAACCTTGATCAAGGTCAGTTGACTTTGGGGATTTCCCCAAAGTTGGAAGCTCGGGCACTTACCATTGAAAGGGTCACGGAACCGTGGCGTTAGCAAGCTGTTTGCGTCCGCGAGCAGCACTGCCGACAAAATCACATGCAAACACTTTTACTCGACCGCTTGAAGGCACAAGTGTTATATTCGTGCAAAATCCATGGTATTATATTTGCACACGCTGTACTACATGTCTCTTCCCGAGCTTCCAATTTTGGTGAAACTCCCGAGGTCAAATGAACTTCACCAATGTTTGAGGAACTTTAGGGTTTTTGTGCCATTTCCCCAAAATTTCCCCGAACATTGCTGAAGGTCATTTGACTTCGGGAGTTTCCCCGAAATACCCCAAACGTGGGAGCTCGGGGGTTGTTGACGATTCCTTCAGCTGCACTGTCCACTCATCAACCAGATGTTTTTGAAAAAAATTTGAAACAATAACACCCAGAGACAAAGGTAGATGATGAACATAAAAAGTGGGAAACCATAAATATTTAGAACCAAAAATGCTAACAAATACAACAAAAAATTACTCAAAATTGACTACGATAAACTAGTTTGGAAACGAAAACAATATTTTTAGCAAATCCTTAAACTGAAATACATTCAATTAGAATGTAAACAGTAGTCTCGTTACGTAAAAAATGATCAAAACAGAGTATTTACCAGCGTCCCTTTTAAATAGCGCGGCGTAGTATACAGATTGTTGTAAACATTCAGTAAGTGTATAAAACAAAGTGCACCAACCAAAGAGTTTATGAAAATTGTGGAAGGACTAGTAGTGATATAAATAAGAGTATGTAATTATGAAAATAATCACAGAAAGTTAAGAAACACACATATGGAGGAAAAAATAAGTGCTAAAGTGCTTGTAGATCATCAGTATGAGCGATCTATGTGGATGGTAAAACGTTTTGCCATTAATTGAAACCGCATTTGATTTTGAACAAACAAACAGATCTGATCTTCTCATACGACTGACTTTCCGTCATGAAAAGCCTTCTAGAGATAACCGATCAGTAGCAAGAAAATGTGATAACAAATTGGTAATTAGCCCCCACGCAAAAAATAGTTCTGTTAGTCTTCGACATTTCACACTAACCACATTACTGGACTCATCTAGTTGAAGGCGTTCGTCAATGCATCCAAACTAGATCATGAGTTAGTACACAATGCTACTCATCCTTCTCAACCGTTAACCAGCTTACACCAAACGCTCTTCGACATATCGGTGACCTTCCAAATGTATCTTCGAACAACTTCATTTTTGACTTTTGATTGGACTGTTTTCGTATGCTTTTAATAAAAAGGTGGTACGTGTGACATCTTTAATATTATCGGATATAATCCTTCTCATCATGCCTCTGGTTCCGCCACATACCAAGGAACCTTCGTTAATCAAGTGGACTAGTTTGTGTTTGTTGACTCTGAAGGAGCTCAAAAGTCAAATTCATTTCATAACAACTGTTAACGTTTTCATCTAATATTCAATTTTGCTTTGTGTTATTTTGTTACCATTTTGCTTTACTCAGAAACACTCTGTGGTTTGTAGTGTTATACTTTTTGCACATTATTAGTGATTGTGAGTATAGTTATATCTTGAGTCCACCACAAGTCTGGTGAACCCAACGTGAGCTCCTTCTGAAATGGCAACCACATATTAGTTCACTTGATCAACAAAGATTTTCCCTGTATGTGGTGGCACCAATGGTGATGAAAAGAAATAAATCCGATAGTATTATTCAGTAACATTCCTGTTCAAAACTCCAACGTAGTGTAGAAAGTCTTAAAAGGGTGATATAACACTACTATAACTTTTAATCACGGGCCATGGCCAATAAAGTAGAAGAAC